TGGTGCAGCTGCTGCTGGAGGTGCAGCTGGTGGAGCTGGTGGAGCTGGTGCAGCTGGTGCCGGGCGACCGGCTCGCGCGCCTCCGCGTCCCCGCCGCCGCCAAGTTGGAGCGGGCCGAAGTCGGCCGCGTTGGCCGGCATTCCCGGAGCCGCGTATGCGAGGTGCTGGTGCTGGTGCTGGTGGTGGGGCGGCTGCTGTTGCTGCTGCTGCTGCTGCTGGCGCCGGTAGAGCTCGGCGTACCGCTCGCTCAGGTAGAGCTGGCGCGCGTTGCGGAGCACGTAGGACACTAGGAGGTTCTTGTGCAGCTTGATGCCGCCGCGCTGGGTTCGGGAGCTGTGGATCTTGCGCAGGGAGATGCTGATCAGGCTCTGGGCGTCCAGGGCGCACTCCATGCTCCCGCGGAGACGCGGGCGGCAGAGCAGCCGCCTTTGCTGCTGCTAAGGCTGCTGCTGCGTGTATCTCCAGCTGGTCGCCGGGGCGCACCGGGCACAGAGAACCGAGCCCGGGTCAGCGGGTCGGCGGCGCTCCGAGAGAAGCCGCCACCATGCGCTGCGCGCCACCCGCAGGCTCACGCTCCCCAGACGGCGCCAAAGCAATGAGCCTCGGCCGGCCCCGGTCCCAGCTATTTAGCCGGGTAGCAGCGCTCCGCCCCACTGCAGATTAGCCAATAGGAGTGTGCGCAGCCTCCCGAATGACAGCCGCTTCCCGCCCCGGGGCCACTTGGCTGACCAATCAGACCAAGGCGGTTCCTTTGTGCTATTCAAATACCGAACGGACCCCGGGCCTCCAACGCCGCCGCTGCCTCGAATGTTCTCCTGGGGCCGTGGCACCGCGTGGGACTCAGGGTCTCCTAGGTAGCCGTCCACAGCGTGGGTCGTCTTTCGGGAGCCACGTTGAGGCCCGCGGCTACCCTGGACCTGGCTCGGGCGAGCTGGGGGTCGGCTCACCTGAGCGCCATGGAGATGGCTCCGCCCCCTTCCGCGCGGTTGGGCCTCACCTGCAGCAGGTGCGCGCGGTTCCCCGCTCCCGGCCACGCGGCGCCTCCTCTTTCTCACTTGCCAAGGTCCGGGGTAACCTGGTAGAGCTGAGTCTTCTCCGGAGAAAAACTGCTGGTGCTGGTGCTGCTGCTGGTGTGTGTGTGTGTGTGTGTGTGTGTGTGTGTGTGTGTTTTGGGGGGTGGTGCAGCTGGGCACTAGGGTACCCTGGTGGAAGAAAGAGTTTGGGGCCTGATTACCTGATGTTTTTAGCCCAGGGGCCTCTGGGAATGGTCGGGGAAGGGCCTCCCCTTCTGTTTGACTGCAAAACCCAGTGAGTTTTAATCTCTAGTAGAGAGCTTCGTTGTTGTAAGCTGGGGGAGTGGGGTGGTGGGGTGGTGATGGAGGTAGGGGGCTAGGAACCCGCCCCAGCTTCCTCCTCACCTTTGGATAACCCCTACTCTCCTGCCTCACTAATATCAATGACAATAGAAGCACTTACTCTGTGCCTAGCTTGGGGCCCTTATCAGGAAGATCTGAATCCCTCTCTCTAAGGTTCTCAGGGCCTGGGCCTGAGACTCACTTGAGTGGGCAACCTGTTAAGATTTGGTGAGTACCCTGAGCCACAGGAGTACTCAAGGACCTTTTATGTCCTTATTCTGAGTCATCCACAGACCAGTGGGACAGGCCATAGGATACCTGAGAAACTTACAGAGGAAGAGGGCTGCTGTCGGGGGAGGGGTCCAATGCCAGCCGTAAGGGCTGGATTCACAGTGTTCAAGGCTCCTTGAAGTGCATAAGTCAGGAAATTGGCCCAGGAAGGGTCAAGGGCTGGGCACTTGAAAGACAAGCAGTGTCCACAGAGATAACTAGTGACAGATGGGACCTGGCGGGGTTGGTGTGTGGAGGCTCTTCTGACACTGTCTTTGGACCTTCTCGGTACCTCTTGGCTGGAATCAAAGGCCCAGACACCCCACCCTGCTGTCCTGGTGGTTCTTTTTAGGAGAGGACTCAGAGATTGTTTCTTCAAGTTTTTGCATCTTCTCAAGATCAAGTGTCAGAAGAGCAGGGAACAGTTTGCTCAGGTTTTCAGATGAGGAACCGTAGACACTAGCAATAGAGAGGCTTTGTCCAAGACGAGAGGGCTCCAGCCTGGGCCGCGCTCTTTCCAGGAGAACACGCTAACTGCTCCTGGCCCCTGGGTAGTGCACCTCTCCCCTCCCTGTTTCAAAGTGCCAGGGTTACATCTGGGGAGGGGGTGGGCTCAGAACAAACACACTTAACTGGCATCCTACTGGCCATGTGGCCATGGGGACATGCTTCTGAATGTGCCCTCGTGAATCCCGGGGGGGGGGGGGGGGCACACCGCCGGGGGGGGGGGGGGGTGAAAGGAGGGAGGACAGGAATGGGATGAATACAACAGGCAATGCAGCCGAGCAGGGGGCGGGGGGGGGGGGGGGGATAGAGCCATACTCCCCTGGCCTCCTGAATACCTGTCTCAAAGGTATACAGGCTCAGGGGTGGGGTGGGTGAGTGGGAGGTGGGCTAGTGGAATGCTTTATCCCGCTCCACAGCTAGGCGGAACTGAGCTGGAATCAAGGGAGTCTGTGGCCCACAATGTGTGCTGTCCTTTCCCAGTATTTACTGAAGAAACTTGAGACTTGAGGTCAGAGTCAGAAAGGGATAATGGCAGGATTTGAATCCTGTTCTGTAGGCACCTGGAAATACGCCAGTGGAGCCAAGTCCAATTCTTCGGCCCAACTCCTGATGATTTGATGCCCCCTCACCCTATGGATTTATATATATATATCAAGTGTCCCAGGACCAGGGTTCTTCACAGCCCCTGGACTGCAGACCTCTGCTTGGGCACAATGGTTTGGCAGAGTGTGAGAATGACCATTCAGGAGTGTGTGTGTGTGTGTGTGTGTGTGTGTGTGTGTATGCAGGCGCATGCACGCACACACGCACGCACACATACATATACTCTCAAGACCATAAGTAGTCACCTTGTGGAGGGGAACAGTGCACAAGGTTCTAGAGAGCACCTGAGTGGGGTTGGGGCGCTCACTTTTCCTCCCTGAGTTGGGGAGATTACATCAGGTCTGAGTCATCATTCCCTAGAGGAAGTTAATTAATACCTCAATATTTACCGAGTGTCTGCTGGACGGAGGCTCTGAGCAGGGCTCGGATCAGTGGGGACCTGGTGACACCAGCCCCACATTGGAGCCCTTGTGCCTTGTCGGCACACAGAAAGCTGCACACACCAGACTTAGGGGCATCTGGAAAGGTGTCTGGCCAGCGATGGGATTTTGGGGGCTCTTGGGGTGGTTGGGGGAAGAGTGCCCAGGCAGAAAGCATCTTGGAGGCATTGTGCTAGGAGTCGGGGGAGGGAGATTGGGACTTCTTAAGTTTGGTTATATGCTCAGTCTCCTGAGAGAAGTTTTCAGAACCGTTAGCTGGAGGCCGTGGAAGTGTATGGAAGAACAAGATGTAGTTCTGCCCTTTGGGTAGAGAAAGATGGTATCTCACAGAGCAGACACAGGGGGTGTCCAGAAAGCTCCCTATGATGAAACTAAGACCTTAAGACCAAAGAGGGATGGGGACTTACCAGTGAGGATCTGGTATACAGTAGTTGCTCAATAAACAATCTGTAGGATGAGTAAATCAGTGAGTGTGATGTGCAGAAGGTATGATGGAGGGAGGCCAAGCACTCCTCCCCATTTCCACATGGGTAAACTGAGGTCCAGTGAGGGGCGAGGTATGTTCTGGGAATCAGACCGGATGCCCCTTCACCACCAGCCTCTTTCCCTGTGCTCCAGCCTCTAGGAAGGTGAGGAGGAGGGGAGGCAGATGTTACCCTCAGCAGCCTCCTGTGGTCTGATATGTGGCTTATTCCATGGGGACAGAGACCCTGGGCCTCCTGTGGCAGCGGGGCTTAGCAGTGTAGGAGTCATTGCTGGGGCCTGACTCCAAGAGGCTGGCGATTCTTAGATGCAGGAGATCATAGCTGTACCCCAGGAAGGTTATTGTGTAGCCACTATACACAATATAGTGTATATAAAATGGATCTTGCAGCCGTGACAGCCGCCATTCCTAGCCCGCCAGGAATCTAGGCAGAAGTTGAGAACCCAGCAGTGTCTGTTTGCCTCACATGGTCCTAGCAAGAGGCACAGTGCTTAGGACACTGGGCCGCCTTCAAGGACCTCAAGGACCTTGCATGTAGTAAGGAGGACGGACATTGCCTCAGCCTGAAGAACTTGTGCTCTCACACTCCAGCACCAGTCTTTGAGGCAGGGCCTCTTACAGTTCACATTCCATGGAGGCACAGAGAGTAGGTGCCCTTCCTGAGGTCACACAGCAAGGAGGAGAGGTGGCAGGGATCTGGAAGAGATGGGCACCGTTCCGTGGGTGGGTGAGGGGGATACAGTCCCCGCTACTCTCACTCACTGGCCCTCCAGGTGACTGTGCCTGTGGACAGAATGTGTGGAGTGTTGCTGTTATCTCTTCTATCTTGGGTTTCTGAGCACTTGGGCTAGCTGGGTGTACATTTGTTTATTCACTCGCTCATTCATTCAGACTGCAGGCTGGGCTATGGTGCAGGCACTGAGCTAGGCTGTAGGAAGAACACACAGCAGGTCTTACTGCCTGAAGTCCAATTTGAAGTATCCTTTTCATCCCCTGAGCCATCTGATTGATTGGTAATGTCTGCCTGGAGCTCTGGGTGAGAAGGGATTTAATATGTGCCGCAGTTGATTAGTGATGTCTGCCAAGGGCTCAGCAGGAGCCTTTGAGATCAGTGTGCTAGGCAATTTGGATACCTGGGGTGGGGGTTGTGAGTCCAGCATCAAATGGTAGGAAAGTGCTTTGAGAAGCTGGGGGAAGGGAGAACAGAGCTGGGAAGGAATTACATACAGCTTTTCTCTTCTTTTCCAGAGTCATCCTGGACACTGTACCCTATATAGGCCAGGGTTAACCCTTATTCACCTGACTGGGAATTGTTTTTAGGATTCAGTATAGACCTTTGTCCCTGCACAGCTCTGCTGGGAGTTTCTGAGGCTCTTAGAACAGAATCTGGAATTTGTTTCTGTTTGGGTGGTGGGGGCTGCCCCCCCTACAAGTAACCCCAGATCCCACTGTGTCAGGGCTGTGTTTGGCGTGAGCGACTTTTCAGTAATTCTCAAAACAACTGAAGTGTGCAATGCTGCTGGCCCATTGGAGAGACAAGTGGACTGAGGCCCAAGCCTGCTATGGTGGCGCATGCCTTTCCTCCCAGAACTTGAGAATTGAAGACAGGAGGACCCCGAGTTCAAGATCAGCCTGGGCTACAGAGTGACTTCAAGGCCAGCATCAGTAAATAAAACCAAATCAAACAAAATGACACAAAGTGGCTCCTGCCTGTAATCCTGGTACCTTGGGAGACTGAGAGGAAGGATCTCGAGTTTGAGGCCAGCCTGTGCTACATAATGAGTCCCAGGCTGGCTGGGATGACACAGCAGGACCTTGTTTCAAAAATCAGAATGAGCCAGGAGGTGGTGGTGGTGCGTGCCTTGAATGCCAGCATGGGGGAAGTAGAGGCAGGTGGATCTCTGTGAGTTCGAGGCCAGCCTGGTCTACAGAGCAAGTTCCAGGACA